ACATGTGGTCAGAATCATTTATTATTTACATACCCGGAAGGGGGGCCGATAACGCCGGGGGGGGGTAGAGTCTATTCTCTTTGTAAAAATGAAAAAGTGATTTTGACAAACGAAATGGCAAATCCCACGCGCTTGCAAACATCCCACCCACCACCCGCAACCTGGTTTGCAAAGCTCACGCGGTGACCACTGCGATGCATGCTTGGCGTTGGCTGGTGCATCTATGCAGCCGCGCCGACCCTAGCACGCGCGCGCAGCGGCCGGCTAGTTTGGCGCCGCCGACGCGGCCGCGGTGGCGCTGACCGCAGGGCGCATCCCAGCGGGCACTCCACTGCGAGTCGGCGACTTGGGAGGGCGCGGTATCATGGCAACGCCGACAACGGTACACACGATGATGATAGCAGCGATGCTGGTGACGATGTTCGCACCGACGAAGGCGCGGCCAGTGCGGGCGCCGATGCTGATCACGCCGACGACGATGAAGGCGTCCTTGCGTCGGCGATGGAGGTTTTGGAAACTAGTTCGACATGCGCGCGCGGCCCCGAAAGGGCGTGCGAATGATGTTGGCATGCGGCGCCAGACGCCCGCTTGGCAGAATCCAATGAAAAGGTTGAAAATCGATGGTTTTCTCAAGCATTCGCAAGAGCGCGCGCAAGCAAGCAATTTTTGACAACTGATGTTGCGAAACCATATGTTTGTTGTATGTGGTTTGGGCATTCGGTTTTGAGATCGCTACGAACCCCTAGGTTTTTGAAGGAATTGGTCATGCGCGAGCGACGACGCGCGCGCGTGCACTTCGTATCGTTTTTTGCAAAGGATTCTCGCGACGGCACGCGCGCAAGGGCGTTCGAACGATTTCGACATGCGCGCGCGAAGCCCGTTTGGCAGCATTTCCTGCGCGCACGCTTTTTGTTTAATCCTTGTTGCGAAACCGTGTGTCTTATGTTCTTATATATTGCTTGCATACTCGATCTTGGAATCTCTACGAAACCCATGGTTTTTGAAGGATTTCGGCATGCGCGCGCGACGACGCGCGCGCGTGCACTTCGTTCCATTTGTTGCAAGGGATTCTTGAAAACATGACTTCTGATAAACGAGTGCGCGCGCATAGCATTTGTTGCTGAGGATGGCGGGGGGGGTCGATACCGGCTGGGCTGCATATTTGGGGTGGACGATGGGGCAGAATCACAGGTAAACTGCACCACGAAAAAGGTGCACCGATAACCCAAAGAGTACCCTGGTTAGCCTCCCCCAGGAGGGTTCTCTGAATTTCCTGGGGGCCGTGGGACATGCAAAGACACACGAGATCCGCACATCCGAAGCCAAAAACCCTTGCAAGATCCGCGCTACCGAGGCCTCAATCATTTTGCAGATTGCGCGATATCTGCGCTGCCGATGCCACAATCCCTTACAAATTGCGCCATATTCGCGCTGCCGAAGCACATTCCCTCACGAGTTGCTGTAGACTCGAGCTGCCGAGGCCACGGCCCCTTTGCAAATCGCACCTGGTTTGCGCTGCCCGCATTCCCTGCAAGTTGCGCCATACTCGCGCTGCCGAGACCGCACAATCCCTCAAATTGCACCGCACTCGTGCTGCCGAAGCGATACAATCCCTCGCAAAGTGCACCGTACTCGCGCTGCCGAGGACGCAATTCGTAGCAGATTGCACCAGATTTGTGCAGCCGAGGCCACAATCCCTTGCGAATTGCGCCATATGCGCGATGCCGAAGACACAATCCCTTTCAGATTGCGCCATAGTCGCGCTGCCGAGACCACACAATCCCTCGCGATGTGCGCCATCTTCGCGCTGCCGAGGCCACAACCTCTCGCAAATTGCACCGTACTCGCGCCGCCGAGGCCCCAATCCCTTGCAAATTGGATCATACTCGCGCTGCCGAGGCCACAATCCCTTGCAATCTGCACAATAATCCCGCTGCCCAGGCCACAACCCCTTTACAAATTGCACCATACTCGCGCTGCCGAGGCCACACAATCCGCAGCAAATTGCGCCATATTCGCGCTGCCGAGGACGCAACCCCTTGCAAATTGCACCAGTTTTGCGCAGCCGAGGCCGTAATCCCTTGCGGATTGCGCCATATGCGCGCTGCCGAAGCCACAATCCTTAGCAAATTGCACCAGAATCGCGCTGCCGAAGCCACATTCCCTTCTGCAGATTGTAAAATTCTCGCGCTGCCGAGGCCACAATCCCTCGCACATTGCGCCATACTCGCGCTGCCGAAACAACAATCCCTCGCAATGTGCACCATATTCGCGTTGCCGAGGCCACAATCCCTCGCGAATTGCACCATATTCGCGCTGCCGAGGACGCAATCCATCGGAAATTGCACCAGATTTGCGCAGCCGAGGCCGTAATCCCTTGCGACTTGCGCCATATGCGCGCTGCCGAATCCACAATCCTTAGCAAATTGCACCAGAATCGCGCTGCCGAAGCCACATTCCCTTCTGCGAATTGTAAAATTCTCACGCTGTCGAAACCACAATCCCTTGCAATGTGCACCATATTCGCGCTGCCGAGGCCACAATCTGCACCATATTCGCGTCGCCGAGGCTACAATCCTTCCCAAATTGCACAGTGTTCGTGCTGCCGAAGGCGCAATCCCTCGTAACTGGAAACGCTCTTGTTTCCGACGCCACGATCCGCCGCTAGTTGCACCAGATTCGCGCTCTCGAGGCCCCAATCTTTTGTAAATTGCGCCATATTCGCATTCCCGAGGCCACGATCGCTGGTAAATTACACAGTGTTCGCGTCTCCGAAGCCACGACCCTTTGAACATTACGCAATAGTCGCGTCCCTGAGGCAACGATCGTTCGTAAATTACGACATGCTCGCCGTCCCCGACGCCACGCTCCCTTGCAACATACGCCGGGGAACCCTAAGACTGTCCAAGCATCGCGACTTTGCGCGACGTAGCCTCAGGCAGCCCATAGTCGTTCAAAGTGGGCAGCCGATACACAGCATGAGGGGAAGTTCGCAAAAGGCAGCACAGAGTTCAACGCTATCATCTGAATATCATTTTGTCTTGAAGATGACCAGTAGTCCTCGCACGAAGCGTCGATACTGCTTCACGACGGCGCCCAGGCATCCCAACATGGCTCCTGCATGTTCCATTGTGATGGAAAGGGGGGCGGCGGCAGAGGGAGAAGCCCTTGCGGATATACATATATACATGTACATACATACGTACATGCATACATACGTACGTACGTACGTACGCACACACACACACACATGCATGCAGACATGCATACATACATGAATGAATAACTGAATGCGTACATACATACATAAACACGTATAGCTATATATATATATACACATATACGTATACATGTGTGCGTGCACACACCGATATACTTGTACATACTAGAACTATGGCGCGCGCTTCGCGCGCGCTCAAGTTCTACCGCATGCTGCGGGGTGGTTCCCCAAGCGAGTGCGGTCGCCAGAACGAAGACCAGAAGCAGTCAGAACCATTATCACTGTCAAGATCGTGATCGTAATCATCGTCGTCACCGATGCCATTCAGAACATCGTAGTCCTCATCATCACCATCACCATCACCATCATCATCATCATCATCAGCAGCAGCATCATCATCAACAGCATCATCATCGTCGTCACCATCATCACCATCGACAACAACAACATCATCATGAGAATCATCGACAACAAGGGCAACAACAACATCATCGGAATAATCACCACCAGTATTATCAGAATCATCCCCATCGCCATTATCAACAACATCATAACTAGCAGCAGCATCATCATACTCATGATGTCATCATGATCATCATCATCGTCATCATCATCACCAGCATCATCCTCATCGTCATCGTCATCGTCATCGTCATCGTCGTCATCATCATCGTCATAATCCTCGTCGCAATAAGCATTATCATCGTCATCAGTACCATACTCAGCATGACTATCATCGTCGTCATGATCACCATCAAATTCATCATCGTCATCGACACGCGAGTGCTCTCTCGCGCGACTTCACTTGCACTGATATTGGAGCCTTCTGGGAGCCCTCCGAGGCCGAGCTGCAGGGACCTCGCAAGGGCACCAGGAGAAGCCGAAGAGGGCTCCAGAGGGCTCGAGAGCAGTGGTAGGCAAATCACGCGAGCGCTCTCTCGCGTGACTTACCCTGCACTGCTGTGGAAGCCGTCTGGGAGCCCTCCCAGGCCGCGCTGGAGGGCCTCAGCAGGGGCGGGTAAGGGCCCCAGGAGGGCCTGAAGAGGGCTCCCACGAGCAGGGAGAGGTAAGTCACGCGCCCTCTCTCGCGTGACGCCATTTTGAAGACCTCTGACAGCCCTCCCGGAGAAGGCCCAAGAGGGTCTCGAAGGGGGCCCAGGAAGGCCCCTCCTGGGGCCCAGGAGGCCCCGGAGGCCTCGTGGGCCGTTTTGGGGCCCCCGCAGGCTATATTGGCACCTCCGTGGGGGCACCTGAGGTGGTCTTGGGGCGATCTTGGGCGCCTCTTGGGCCGCGTCTTTGAGCGTGGAGAAGCTGGAAAGGCAGCCATGCGAAAATCTTCGAAACAAAAAACGTAAAACAAATCGACGAATTGCATTTCTTGGGACTCTCGTGGGAGTGCGCTTGGAGGTATCTTGGGTCGTCTTGGAGGCTTCTTGCCGTGGGGAGGGCTTCGGGGCGTGCGGAGCGCCTCTGTTAACGGTTCAAGGCACTCTGGGCCGTCTTGAGGCTCTCCGGGGGGCTGTCTTGAACGCCCGAGAGGGTGGCACCGGAGACGGGGAGGGGGGGGGTCGCATTTGTGTATAGATATATATATATATATATATATATATATATATGTACACATATGTGTGTATATATAAAAACATACAGATGTATAATATATACATGATATATAGATATATACGTACATGTATACATGCATACATGTTATATTTGCGTGTGCGTGCAGACATATACTACGTAAAACAACGAGAATCGCCCCCCCCATCCCCTTCCCGTCCTCGGGCTCGTGGCCTCCGTTCGTCGTGAAGGCCTCGTTGGCCACCTGGGTGATCTCGTCGGCGGGCGTGTCGGGCCCCCAGACGTAGACGCCCTTGGGCCACGCCGGCGGGTTCGGCTGAGGCTCCGCCCTCGCCCGCAGGGTCGCCGGGGCCGCGAGGCCGGCCAGCAGGACCAGGCGCTGCGCCCCACGACCGCCCATGACCCCCTCTGCAGGCACTACCGCCCGAGAGACAGTGGGCCTCCAGTTCGAGGGCAGTGCGAGCCCGAACGGCTCCAGAAGGATCGGGGGTCGAAGGCCGCGGCGCGCGGCGGATGCTCGGCCGTCGCCGTCCGCTGCGGCGGAGTCGCCGTCGGCGCAGCGGTTGGGGGAGGTGGGGGCGGGGCCGCAAGGGCGCGAGGAGGGGCGGGAGAAACAAAAACAGTGCAGAGGGGGGGCCCGTAGCGGTGGCCACTGGCTGGCGTGCAAGCCAGTCGGAGGACGAGGAGAGGGGGAGTGCACTGGACTCGGCACGCAATGCAAGCCAGCAGGCGGACGTTCCAGAGTCAACAGCCAGGCAAGATGTTGCCAGGTTCAGCACGTCGGCGACGCAACAGGCGGCACCAAAATCGGACAATACCGAAAATCATCGGGAAAGGGAAGGGGAGTGCGTGGAGAAACAGGGGAGGGCGAGGGCGAGGGGGAAGGAAAGGGCGGAGGGGGGGGAGAGGGGGGGGGGGGGGGGGGGCGGGGGGGGGGGGTAGGGCGAAAGGAGCAGGGAAGCAGCGTGAGAGGGGGGGAGGGTAGCGGGCATCGGCAGAGGCAGGGGCAGGGGACAGGCGGGCGAGGAGCGAGGGGGGAGGGGGGGCGAGCTGGGCGCGCTCGCGCCACGTGTGACATCTCAAAGCCACCCACCCGCGCCTTCCCGTAGCGCACGTTCGTCTCACGCTCGCGAGAGTCGGCCGTCGTGAGAGAGGGAGGGCCTCGACGCTCGAGCCGGTCTTGGACGAGGCGCCGCCAGGGGCTTCAGCGCGGATCCTAGAAATCCGCGTGGAACTCCGAAAGTTCATGTTTGTGCCATGTTTACAAGAACGGCGATCATGCACCTTACCATGCTTTGGACTCCCTTCAGGCCTCGCTACAATGCAGCAACAGTTTTCTTGCTCCGAGGGCCGAAAACGTATGCCCCAGACCATTCCTGGGTCGAGAGTCGACGACGCCTCGGGGGACGCCAACGCGGTACGGTGCTCACACGTCCTCCGCGGATTTACGCCGTTTCTCGTTCCCCGATCAGGGGCGCAGGGCGACCGCCAGGGCGCGCCCTGGACTGCCGCGGGCAGCCAGCGTCCGGAGGCACTCGCCGGAGCGCGCGCTCCACAGCTTCACCGTGCCGTCGCCGCTGCCAGTGGCCAGCGTCTCCGCGTCGGGGCCGAGGTCCAGCGACTGGACGGCCTCGCGGTGGCCTTGGAGGAAGACAACACGGCACAGAAAAACACACCTTCGAAGCTCTGCGAGGACTTCTTCGATCGGCACCGTCCGAAGTTCCAACTCTCGGAAACCTTCACAAACTTCACCCTGCGGATTGCCTGCATAGCTGCAGCTGGACATTCGAAGTTTCGAAAACGGCACAGACTGCACCGCGCGGATTCCGTAAATCGGCGCTGGGCCCTCCCTGGCGCGCGGAGCGCGCCAGGGGTGGTGCCAGCAGCGCCGCCAGGGGGGGTCCGGCGCCGGCGGTGCCGCCAGGGGGGGAGAGAATCCGTGCGGACCTCCGAAATTCTGAGCTTGTGCCGCCGTTTCTCTCCCGATGGCCTCCCAGCACGCTCAGGCACGCGTGCGAGTCCACGTCCCAGATCCTGGCGCTGCCGTCGAAGGTTAGACGCTCGTTCTGGGGACTTCCTGGAGCCACTCGCTCCACTGATGCATCGATGATGCGTCGAACGTCCGCCGAACATGCGTCCAACTTGAGTCGAGCAGATCCGTGACCCAGCCTCCAGGAAGGTCTCAAGAGCGACGAACGTATCCGTATCCACGCCCTCGCGGTCTGGATTTCAGGCCGCGATCCCGCGGATACGCGGTCGCACAAAAACGCTCCGTGCGGGGCACCCGAGATAAGCCGTATCCGCAGGGTCGCGGCCCAAGAGCCCCGCTGGCGAGGCCGCGGAGACGCATATGGCGTGTTCCGGAACACTGAGCCCAAAAATGTTGCTCACATCTCTTGGGGGCGCATCTTTTACTTCCGCCGCCCTTTCGCTGCCCTTCCGCCGAGGAAATGGCGCCAACTCCTTCGGCCCTCGAAGGCGAAGCCCTCTCTGAAACGCCTCCTCCGCCCTCCGCCCACGAAGGCCCCCGGAGCGAGCATCCAACGAAGGAGCCCGTGAGCGCCAGCCTCGGGCCCGCGGGCAGCGCGGCGCAGAGCACGGGGCCCTCGTGGCCGCGCAGGACGCTCTGCGCCGCCACGGCCGCGGGCGCGCCCTCCGCGCCAGGCGGGGCCAGGCGCCACAGGCACGCCAGGCAGTCGAAGGACCCCGTCAGGACGAGGGACGCGTCCGCCGAGACCGCGACGGCCCGAGGAGGGAAAGGCGGGCGATCGACGTCTTACATCCCTGCCCCTGCTCGCGCTCCCCGGCCCCACGGGGGGCCAAGAGCGGCGGCATGGCCAGAGTTTGGGCCTGCGGAGCCACGTGTCCTTGTCCATGCCCCTGCTCCCCGTGGTGCCCGGAGTGGGGGGCAGCGGCAGGGGTATGGATCGAGCGTCGATTGTCGAAGAGACGGCACAAGCACAAACTGTCGGAGGTCCGCGCGGCTTTCTGGGATCGGAGCTCGGGCCCCCTCGGCGGCGCCTCCAGCGCCGCCCTTGGCGCACCCCGCGCGCCAGGGCAGGGGGGTCCAGCGCCATGCCAAGAAATGCAGCCGACCTCCGAAAGTTTGTGGTGATGCCGCCTTTCCCCTCTTCGAATCGCGAGCACCAGGCAGGCGTCGTGCCCGGGCAGGACAGATCGGGTGTTGCCAGAAGCGGCCCTGACCCAAGGTGTCCCCAGCGTCCCGCGCCGCTAGGGAGCCGCTCGGGTCCTCTGGGCCTCGTGAGGGGTTTCGGGTACTGGTTTTCGAATCGAGAAGAACGGTTTTTAGTAGACGCTGCAGTTTCAAGTCGGCGCGGCGTTGTTGGACCGGCGATGGAAAAAGATTCAGGATCACCCAGCGTTGCTGGATTCTCATGTGAAGCGTTCTCTAAGAAAGCTGTTCGAGAATATCGTTATTGCGCTGTTGTACATAATTTTAACTTGGTGCTCGCGTTTTCGGACTGGGTGCCTTGGAGGCCGTGGGGGCCTCCCTAGGCAAGCTGGGGTCACCTTGGGCCAGGGCCACTTCTGTGAGTATCCCTCAACCTAGCCGCATCCCCACTGGCATGGCAATGGCCCCACTGACCGATTTACCCCCCTGGATATAAACAAATGATCCTGGGTCGAGGGTTCGCAAGCCCCACAGATGAGATGGGTCCCAGGGTTCCACAGCCCTCCACCAGAAGGGATGGGACGACGACGACGACGACGACGACGACGACGACGACGACGACAAGGACGACGACGACGACGAAGGCGACGACGACGACGACGACGAAGGCGACGGCGACAGCGACGGCGACGGCGACGGCAACGGCGACGGACGACGACGACGACGACGACGACGACGACAACAACGAACCACTCCACACCCACAGTGAGGGGAGGGGCACCAGCACCCACCACCACGCCAAGCCCACAGGGCCACGACCACAGGGGGGGTGATCCCATTCGCTAGGCCTTTGCGAGGCCTACAGGCGTACCAATCCAGCTGGGGCGAGGGGGCGCCCGATCCCATGAGCACGCGGGGGGGAGGCGGAGCCCTGGATCATCAGAGTGAGGGGGCTGAACCGAACGGTCATTCACTGTCCCTGGGTGCGTGGCTGAAGTGGAATTCCGCGATGCGAATTCTTGTTGTTGTTGGTGTTGTTGATGTTGTTGCTGTTGTTGCTGCTGGTTTTGTTGTTGGTATTGTTGTTGGTGTTGCTATTGTTGGTGTTGTTGTTGTTGATGTTGTTGTTGTTGTTGTGTGTGTTGTTTGTTGTTTGTTGTTTGCTGTTTGTTGTTTGTTGTTTGTTGTTTGTTGTTTGTTGTTTGTTGTTGTCGTCGTCCCACCCGCGACCCGCCCCGCGACCCACCCGCGACCCACCCCGCGACCGACCCGCGACCCACCCGCGACCCACCCCGCGACCCACCCGCGACCCACCCTGCGACCCACTCGCGACCCACCCGCGACCCACCCGCGACCCACCCCGCGACCCACCCAACATTTTCGGCGCCTGCGGCGAGCTTCTTTTGCATTCGTTCCAGGTGGAGAACCTGCGACCCACCCGCGACCCAAACCGCGCCCGCGACCCACCCGCGACCCACCGCGACCCACCCGCGACCCACCCGCGACCCACCCTGCGACCCACCCAAAATTTTCGGCGCCTGCGGCAGGCTTCTTCTGCATTCGTTCCAGGTGGAGAACCTGCGACCCACCCGCGACCCAAACCGCGTTCAGTGTACAAATCAAAATGTTCGGCGCCTGCGGCGGGCTGTTTTTGAGTTCCTTCCAGGTGGAGGTGGAGAGCCCGCGACCCACCCGCGACCCAAACTACGTTCACTGAACAGGTCAAATTTCGGCGCCTGCGGCGGGCTTCTTTTGCATTCGTTCCAGGTGGAGAACCTGCGACTCAAACCGCGTTTAGTGTACAAATCAAAATGTTCGGCACCTGCGGCGGGATGTTTTTGAATAGATTCCAGATGGAGGTGGAAAGCCCGCGACCCACCCGAGACCCAAACTACGTTCACTGAACAAGCCAAAAACTCGGCGCCTGCGGCGAACTGTTTTTGCATGGGTTCCGGGTGGCCCACCAGCGATCCCCCCCGCGCTGAACTTGTCAGAGCACGACGACGACGACGATGAGGACGAGGACGCGGACGAGGAAGAGGAGGAGGAGCAGGAGGAGGAGGAGGAGGGCGCCATCGACAGGGAAGATGAGGGCCACTAGGTCCGCCGGCTCGACGCCCACGTCGCCCGCGCCCGCCCCCTCACTCTGATCCGCAATTGCGGGGTGCTACGTATATCATCTGGGGTTGCCCCCCCTTCTCCCCACCCAATGGATATGGGATCGAGCCCTCCCCCCCCCCGCTGGATAGGTACGCCCGTGAGCCTCGCGAAGGCCTCGCAGAATTGGATCGCTGCCCACCCCCATGGTCGTGGCCCTGTGGGCGTGGCGTGGTGGAGGGTGCCGGTGCACCACCCCCCCTGTGGGTATGGGGTGGTTCGTCGTCGTCGTCGTCGTTCTTCGTCCGTTGGCGTCGGCGGCGGCGGCGTCGGCGTTGGCGGCGGCGTCCGCGGCGGCGGCGGCGGCGTCGTCGTCGTCGTCGTCCGTTGTGGTCCGCGGCGTTGGCGTCGGAGGCGTCGTCGCCATCGCCGTCGCCGTCGGCGGCGGCGGCGGCGTCAGCGTCGGCGTCGGCGTCGGCATCGGCGTCGGCGTCGGCGTCGGCGTCGGCGTCGTCGTCGTCGTCCCCAACCCATCCCATTGGGGGGGGGGCTGTGGTACCCTGGGACCCGTCCTGTCTGGGGGGGGCCGGTGAACCCTCGACCCAAGATCTCATATGCTGCTCCATGCGGGCTTCGCGGGGCCTATCCCCAACTTGCGGGGTGAGCTGGCGGGGCCGAGACACCATGGCCCAATTTGGGGATGGGGATCGGCGAAACGATGCTGCTTCCAGCAACGCCCAAGACGAGGGTGCACCTGCCGGTGTGCGAGCACCACAGCCTCGCGTCCCCGTCGGCGCCCCCAGTGGCTGCGACGCCGGCGTCCGCAGACAACGCCACGGCGGCCACGCCGCCCGCGTGCCTGGAGAAGGTGCGGAGGCACGCGCCCGACTCCAGGCTCCACAGCCGCGCGCACCCGCCCACCAGCCCGCAGAGCGCCAGGGTCCCGTCGCGGGAGAGGGCCACCGCCCTCACGGCTCCCCCTCGCGACTTCAGCCTCTGCACCTCCCGGCCGCCCTCGGCGCCGCGGACGCAGACGCCGCCGTCACCGCAGCCGCCGACCACGAGCAACCCATCGGCGGAGAAGGCGCAGGAGTGCACCGTCGTGACACCAGCATGGGCACCAGGACAAAAAACGATGCAAACTTAAACATAAACGTTTGGAGGTCCACGCGGATCTCTTGGATCTGTGCTGGACCCCCTCCCTGACGCGCGGAGCGCGCTGGGGGCGGCGTCGGAGGAGCCGCCAAGGGGGTCCATCGCAGACCCCAGCGATCCGCGCGGACCTTCGGAAGATTCTGCTTGTGCCGTTTGTTCTCCCACGAATAAGAGGCGCGCTCGATGTACTCCCCGGTGCCTGCGTTCCACGCGGTCACCCCTCCGTCCTCGTGCCCGACAAGCAGCCGCGGCCACTGGGTCAGCACCACGCCGACCTCCTGGCTCTCCAGGATGCCAACGTCGGCCACAACCTCGTCGCCAAGGAGGACTCTGCCCCCAAGGATGACCGAGGGCATACAGGCTGTGCCCACCTCGCTGACGATAGCCTCGCGCAGTTGCGAGATGGTCGACGTGGGCTGCAGGGCGACCTGCGCCAGCACCTCACCGTTGAAAACGGAGCGCGCCGCGATCATGACATCGCCCTCCACCATGGCCGCGCCCCGTGGGCCGTAAGCGATGCGAGGGAGGCGCACGAGGGGGCTGTCTGGCCGCAGGCAGCCGGGCTCGGGCGCGCCTGAGCCAACGACTACGGACTGCAGGCGGCTAGTCTTGAAAACCCGCGCTGGGGTCGTCGCCGCGTAAACGCAGCGCGAACCTACCGCATGCCTCAGGAAAGGGCATCCGTTTTCTCCCCGTGCCCTCTGGAGTAGAATATTAAAAGACAGACGCATAAACTTCTGGAGCTCTGCGCGAACCTCCGAGAAATGTGTTTGTACAGTTTTTGTTGCGCTTCGAATGCTGACTCGCGACCCGCTGTTGGAGCCACGTCCAGCCGCGGCGACGACAGCCACAAAGGGGCAATGCAGGCTGACTCGGGAGGGGGATCCCGATAATGTGCGAGTCGTCTTGAAATCGAACGCAACTGCTCTGCCCACTGCGGCGAGGATGCTCTGGTGGAAGATGATGACACGCTCGAAGGGCACGATATTGTGATGGACTGAGCTGATCATGCAGGCTGCCGGCGATAGCGAGAGCGTGCCAATCAAGGGCGATTCGGCACAATCACGCTGGAATAAAACATGGAGGGGTCACAATAACGACAACAATAACGTCAAGACTGTTCGCTCTGACCTGCTCGCGTGCCATTCAACACGTATCTCCAAAACCCTCAGCACCTCCCCTCTTTGTCTTCGATCGTACCCACGTGGGGGCATGTTTTCCTTACCTGCCGCGTGTATTGGTGCAGCCCCTGAATCAGGGGGGAGAAAGGACGGATGGAAGGAGGAGGGAGAAGGATGGAGCACGGGATTAGCAGGAGGGGTCCAGGAGCAGAAAACACGAAGCAGAACCAGATGGGCTGATCCTTCGGGTAGACCTTAACGGACGGGTCGGAAAGGCGGGCCGAAGCGGCCAGGTCGAGAAGCCATATTGCTGAAGCGTGAATACTGCATGAATCGCGAGGACAACTTGAGCGATAGCGCGATTCACAAAGAAATTATGGGAAAGGCCAAAACGAGAGCGTGATTCCTGAGTGTCGAGGGAGCGGCGTCTGAATAAATTGCGAGGAAGGCCCACGCGTGAGCGCGATTCCTGCATAACTTGTGAGGAAGTCCTGCGCGAGAGCGCGATTTGGGAATACTCTGTAAGGAACTATCCGGCGGGAGCCGTTGTTGTCGTAGTTCGGGGCCCAACAATACAGCTTGGTGACACCAAGCTTTCCCTGACAAAAAACCGGGTGCGATACCCGAGGGGGGCACTTCAGTCTAAACGATACAACGGTCACCCGAAGAGGGGGATCAACAATAATAACTCTCCGGAAATGAGAACTCAACGACAACAACAGGAACAACAACAACGCCAACATCAACAATAACAACCATCAGTTTGAGACTGTTCGCTCTTATCTGCTCGAATGTCATTCAACGCATATTCCCCAAACCCTCGATACCCGACCTCTTCGTCTCCGATCGTACCCTTTTGAGGGGTATATCTTTCTTCCCTGCAGGCCGGGCCCCGGCAAGCGGCGGGGCGGCCGCGGACCGTCGGCCTGGCCAGCGGCAGCGCTGATCGGCGGCAGCCCGACGACGATGACGACGACGACGACGACGACAACGACGACGACGAGACGGCGACGACGACGAGACGACGACGACGATGACGACGACGACGACGACGACGACGACGACGACGACGAGCGCAAGCGAGAGCGAGAGCGAGAGCGACAGCAGGGCCACGAAGGCCAGGAAGGGGGCCACGAAGGGCGAAAGCGGGGCCACGAAGGGCATGCATATGGGGCCACGACGGGCGCGAACGAGCAGGGGCCACGAAGGGCAGATAATGCGGGACCACAGACGGCAACGACGGGGCCACTGAGGGTAGCAACTGAGCACGTAGGGCAGCCAGGGGGCCACAAAGGGCAAAAGCGGGGCTACGAAGGGCATGCATATGAGGCCACGACGGGCGCGAACGAGCAGGGGGCACGAAGGGCATACAGACATTGGGTCTCAGAGGGCAGCAACGGGGCCACGAAGGGCAGCAACGGGGCCACGAAGGGCAGCGAGGTGGCCACGAAGGGCGACACCGTGGCCACGAGACGCATTCGTATGGGACCACGACCGGCGCGATCGAGCGGGGACCACGAAGGGCATGCATATACGGGGCCACAAAGAGCAGCGAAGGGGCCACGAAAAGCTGCAACGGGGCAACGAAGGGCAGCGCGGGGGCCACGAAGGGATGCAACGGGGCCGCGAAGGGCAGCGAAGGGGCCACGAAGGGCTGCAACGGGGCCACGAAGGGCAGCGAGGGGGCCACGAAGGGCTGCAACGGAGCCACGAAGGGCAGCGAGGGGGCCACGAAGGGCTGCAACCGGGCCACGAAGCGCAGCGAGGGGGCCACGAAGGGCTGCAACGGGGCCACGAAGGGCAGCGAGGGGGACACGAAGGGCTGCAACGGGGCCACGCGAGGGGGCCACGAAGGGCTGCGAGGTGGCCACGAAGGGCAGCGAGGGGGCCACGAAGGGGTGCAACGGGGCCGCGAGCAGCAAAGGGGCCAGCAAGTCTCCAGCGAGAGCGCGACTCCAGCGCCGAGTGAATGATCCCAGCATGAACTGTAGAGAAGTCACCAGCGAGAGTGCGATTTCCTCTGTAAAATGCGAGGAAGTCTCAGGCGGGGGCGGGTCCTGGTTAAATTGTGAGGAAGTCTCAATTGGGAGTCGTTGTTGTTGTAATCCAGGGGCCAACAACCCAATTTGAGCCGAGTGACTTTCCGTGATAAAAACCGAGCGCGAGCCCCGGGAGAAGTACTTCGATTGGAAAAACACCATGGTCACTGGAGGGGGGACAAAGCAGCATTATTCTTCAATCGTGAGAGCTCGATTACTATTACATCACCACCACCACCACCACCACCACCACCACCACCAACAACAACAACAACAACAACAACAACAACAATAATCACTTTACCCGAACGCTCAGTGTTCTCACCAGTGCCAGGGTTTTCATGCGACGCCAGCCAATACCCCCACTTTGTGGGGGGGCAGTGCAAGCTCTACCAAATATCCACACGACTCTTCGCCACCACCCACACCCAGCTTCCCGCCCTATGACGTTCGGACACTTCACTTCGTGGCCTGCGGACGACCGTGGCTACTACACTGGCGTGGAGTACACACCCACAGAAGTTGTTAAGCCTACGTTCGTACACCCACAGAAGTTGTTAAGCCTTGTTAACCCACAGAAGTTGTTAAGCCTTCCACAGAACATCTGTTGCATATGATGCATATGGTACATGATACACATGATACACATGATACGTACTCACAAGATAGTTGATCACATCTTTAGGGCAAATTCCTGAGGGATGTGGGAATACACAAGAGAGAGAGGATATGGTTGTCCCGATGGTTGTCTCGATGGTTGTCCCGATGGTTGTCCTGATGGTTGTGGTTGTCCCGATCGTTGTCCCGATGATTGTCCCGATGGTTGTCCTGATGGTTGTGCTTGTCCCGATCGTTGTCCCGATGACTGTCCCGATGATTGTCCCGATGGTTGTCCCGATGGTTGTTCCGATGGTTGTCCCGATGGTTGTCCCGATGGTTGTGAGCGATGCCGGATCCTCACGCCCCCCGCCGGACAGCGCGCGCGGGTAGAAATTTTGAAAAGTCGTGCAGGTGTTTTTCGAGGACCTACGGTGCGATTCGTGTGATTTTATGATGCGCGGTGCTAAAATTCTTAAGAAGCCCAATGGTTTTTGGAGATTTCGGCGTGCGCGCGCGAAGAAAAAACGAATGTGTCCCGCATGGTATTATTTGACAGGGATGATGGCCCTGGCAGGTGCGCAACCGTTGTCGCAGAAGTTCGAAAAAGTTGCTCGCAAAAGCCCGTTTGACAGAAATGTTTAAAAAGTGTTGGGTTTCCTACGAATCCGCAAGAGCGCGCGGGATGAGATTTTGACAATTTGTTTGTTGAAAAACCATTGGTTTTTTGATGTTTTTATGTTAAAATCGCTGCGAACACTAAGGTTTTGGAAGGATTTCGTCTTGCGCGCGCGAATGTCCACTTTACCTTATTTTTTGCAAGGGATTCTTGAAATTTGATTATATTAGAACAAGAAATGTCATTTTCTATTGTTTTTTGCAAGGGAAAGCGGATTACAACAAAACAACCGGATCCTGTACACACCCTCTTTTCTGAGGCTTCCTCACGAAAATGATGAAAATGTAGCTGCGGCCTAGGCGGCGCAGGGGGGGCGCGCACCAGGGGGCCCAACAATAATTATTCTTTAGAATAAATAATGTTCAACAACAACAACAACAACAACAACAACTAGCACGTGGGGACACTCCGTTCTCACCAGTGCCAAGGTTTTCATAGGAGGCGGGCAATACCCCCACTTTGTGGGGGGGCCGGTTCAAGCTCTACCAAATTTCCAAACGACTCTTCGCCACCACCCACACCCAGCTTCCCGCCCTATGACGTTCGGACACTTCACTTCGTGGCATGCGGACGACCGTGGCTACTATTCAGGGCCCCGCGGCCGACGACGACGGCGTGCGCGCGCGAAGAAAAAACGAATGTGTCCCGCATGGTATTATTTGACAGGGATGATGGCCCTGGCAGGTGCGCAACCGTTGTTGCAGAAGTTCGAAAAAGTTGCTCGCAAAAGCCCGTTTGACAGAAATGTTTAAAAAGTGTTGGGTTTCCTACGAATCCGCAAGAGCGCGCGGGATGAAATGTTGACAAGTTATATATATATAAAAAAAAAAAAAAAAAAAAAAAAAACTTGTTTTTTATGTTTTTATGTTAAAATCGCTACGAAAACTAAGGTTTTGGAAGGATTTCGTCTTGCGCGCGCGAATGTCCACTTTACCTTATTTTTTGCAAGGGATTCTTGAAGTTTGGTTATGTTAGAACAAGAAATGTCCACTTTAGCTTATTTTTTGCAAGGGAAAGCGGGCCGTAACAAAACAACCGGATCCGGACCAACCCGTTTTGCCTGAGACTTCCTCACGAAAATGATGAAAATGTGGCTGCGGCCTAGGCGCGGCGGGGGGGCCATGCACCAGGGGCCCCAACAATAACTATTCTTTAGAAGTAATAATGTTCAACAACAACAACAACAACAACAACAACAACAACAACAACAACAACAACAACAACAACAGCAATTGCAATTGCAAATGCAACAACAAACAACAGCAGCAGCAACAACAACAACAATAACAGCGGCAACAACAACACCAGCAGCAACAACAACAGCAACAACAACAACAATCAGTTTAAGACTGCTCGCTCTTATCTGCGCGCGTGCCAGTCAATACGTATATTCCCAAACCCTCGATACCCGCCCCCTTCGTCTTCGCTCGTACCCTCTTGGGGGATAAGCTTCTTACCTGCAACGTGTATTTCATGCAGCCCCTAAAACAAGAGACGAGAGGACGGATGGAAGGAACTGGGAGGGAGGAGGATGGAGCACGAAAGAGAGTAGCAGGAGGGGGGGCTAGGAGCAGAAAACAAGTGGCAGAACCAGATGGGCAGATCGGGCGGGCAGACCCTAGCGGGCGGGTCGGAAGGCGGGCCCAGGCGGCCAGGTCAAGCAGGCGGGTTGCTGAAGCGTGCGGCCTGCATGAATCGCGGGGAAGTATCAAGCGATAGCGCGACTCCCAAAGAAATCGTTAGGGAATCCACAGCGACAGCGTGATTCCTGAGTGTCGAGGGCGCGGCGTCTGAATAATTGCGAAGAAGTCCCACGCGTGAGCGCGATTCCTGCATACATTGTGAGGAATTCCCGCCCGAGTGCGCGATTTGGGAATACATTGAGGAAATATCAGGCGGGAGCCGTTGTTGTTGTAACTCGGGGGCCAGCGGACCAGTTTGGTGACCCCGCACTTTCCCTTGAAAAAAACAAGGTGCGAGCCCAGGGAAGGGCATTTTAATTGAACAAAACAATGTGCCCCGAAGAGGGGGGGTCAACAATGATTAGTTTAAAAACCAACAGCAACGACAACAAAAACAACAACAACAACAACAACAACAACAACAACAACAACAACAAGAACAACAACAACAACAACAACAACAACAACAACAACAATTACTAGCACGTGGGGACACTCCGTTCTCACCAGTGCCAGGGTTTTCATAGGAGGCGGGCAATACCCCCACTTTGTGGGGGGGCCGGTTCAAGCTCTACCAAATTTCCAAACGACTCTTCGCCACCACCCACACCCAGCTTCCCGCCCTATGACGTTCGGACACTTCACTTCGTGGCATGCGGACGACCGTGGCTACTATTCAGGGCCCCGCGGCCGACGACGACGGCGTGCGCGCGCGAAGAAAAAACGAATGTGTCCCGCATGGTATTATTTGACAGGGATGATGGCCCTGGCAGGTGCGCAACCGTTGTCGCAGAAGTTCGAAAAAGTTGCTCGCAAAAGCCCGTTTGACAGAAATGTTTAAAAAGTGTTGGGTTTCCTACGAATCCGCAAGAGCGCGCGGGATGAGATTTTGACATTTTTTTGTTGAAAAACCATTGGTTTTTTGATGTTTTTATGTTAAAATCGCTGCGAACACTAAGGTTTTGGAAGGATTTCGTCTTGCGCGCGCGAATGTCCACTTTACCTTATTTTTTGCAAGGGATTCTTGAAATTTGATTATATTAGAACAAGAAATGTCATTTTCTATTGTTTTTTGCAAGGGAAAGCGGATTACAACAAAACAACCGGATCCTGTACACACCCTCTTTTCTGAGGCTTCCTCACGAAAATGATGAAAATGTAGCTGCGGCCTAGGCGGCGCAGGGGGGGCGCGCACCAGGGGGCCCAACAATAATTATTCTTTAGAATAAATAATGTTCAACAACAACAACAACAACAACAACAACAACAACAACAACAACAACTACAACAACAACGACGACAACAACAACGACAACAACAACCACAACCACAACCACAACCACAACCACAACCACAACAACAAACAACAACAACCACAACCACAACCACAACCAAAACGACCAAAACCACAACCACAAGACAACCACAACCAAAATCACAACCACAACCACAACCACCACAACCACAACCACAACCACAACCACAACAATCACAACAACCACAACAACCACAACAACCACAACAACAACAACAACAACAACAACAATCACCACAACAACAACACAGCCATGTGCCAGCCTATGGCACGGGGCCTTGGCAGTGTAAAAAATGGAGGCGGAGAAAGAGGGGGAGGAGACAGACAAACAATGATCTACGACACGACTCAACGCACAGCCCATCAGGTGTTCGAAGGCTGTGACATCGGCTGGCAACCCCGAGGGCGCGCGCCACGGCAGAGCTCTCCAGCCCAAGACCCCTGCCTTGGCTTCTGGCGTGCCGCTGACGCACGGCAACCAGAGCCGCCCCAGGCCCCAAGCCCATGGAGGCCCAGAGCTCTCCAGGATTCCGTGGTCAGAGACTTATCACGCTGGGTCCTGGGCCGACACAGAATACCGTTACCGCTGCTCCCCAGACCTCTCCCGGGGTGCGTTCTGACCAGAATCTCGAGGAGAATCCAGCCGTGGCGATGAGGGCTCTCCAGGATGAGCAGCGGTATCCGTACCTTTTCTTCCTCTGAGGTTCACCTGCGAGGGTCCCGAGGCCCGTGGCTCTCCCGAGGATGGAACTTGTCACAGCGGCTCGAGGCCCCCTAAACGTAGTCCGAATAGATGGGGCTGGAGGATCACGCCGCATCGGTGGTGCAGTGGCGATGCATCGGCGATGCATCGGCGATGCATCGGCGATGCATCGGCGATGCATCGGCGACGTCGGCGGTGCATCGGCGACGTCGGCGCGATCCTCCGACCCCATCCATTCGGACCCCATTTGGGAGGCATTCAACGGCACACCCTGACTTTTTACAACACGAGGCGGTCTGCGGCCTCCCTCCGCCTGGCCTGGCGGCGCCGGTGTCAGGCTCAGGCGATGTCTTCGCTGTCCAAGATCTTCAGGGCTTCTTTGAGGGACGCTATCTCCGACTCGCGGGCCTGAGGCGGCCCACCCCCTCGGAGACTCCGGGGTCTCCAAGCCAGATCATCGCCAGTCCGATTTGAAAGTTTCTCGGGTTCCACCTGTTCCCTCGTCGCGTCACACGCGGCATACCAAATCACACGAAAGTCAATACTCAACAGTGCGCATGAACTGGCTAATGTGTAGGCGGGCACTGCACTACTGGAACGAATAGTGAAGTCTCGAAGAGCCGACATCGATCCTCGGGCTTACGTTGCCGAAGTGGATGGAATCTCTCTGGATCCGCCCACCCCCATGGGGCCATCAGGGTTTGGAAGTTGCGCCCTTAACAAGCGACGAGACGGCCGAAACGCAGTCCAGCACTCGGGATACAGAACGCCTACAATTCCCGAATCGTGCTCGTGGCTCTTGTGTTGACTGCTCAGGTGCCCATCGCTGTCTACCGCTCCATTGAATGGCATGGCATAGCCTAGATAATTGTGCAGTGGTTCAGCTTTGTGCAAACTACACCATCTTAGCTTAGCGTAGCGTAGCGAAGCTTTGCTGAGCCCTGCGACACCACTAGTTGACCTTAGTTCAGCGCAGCTCTGATTAGCTAAGATAATGTTGCAATGGCCTGGATTAGCTGAGACGGTTTTGCACACGGAGCAGAAGTTGTAGCGCAAGCAGCAGTCGTCGCCGAGCATTGACGAAGAGCGGGCCGGACGGCCTGCTGCTGCGGTCCCAGGGGCGGCGGCGGCGGCAAGGGAGGCACGCGGAGATGGAAGTGTCGGCCCAGGAGGCGGACCCACAGGCGGCGGCGGGGGAGGAGGCGACCGCGCAGCAGGTGGCATTGACGCCTGCCTCGCATGGCAAGTTTCGAATTCAAAGTGTGGGCTCCACGCGCGTAGGGGTCTACACTTGAGGCACGAATGATTTGTTCGGGGTCCACGTGCTGACATCATGACTACCCCAGCTCGGCTTCGCTTGCAGCGATCTGGCTCGGCCTGGGCTCGGCTTCAACTCCAGAGCAAGCTCAAGCGGGGTGCGAGACCATGCTGGTGACAGGCTCGGACCGCGTGCACGTCCTGGCCAGGGGCCCGGTCGCTCGAGGGCCTGAGCCCAACGCTACGGGATGGCTCGTCGCAGCCAGCAGCAGGTACCCTGGCATTGCCAGACCACCGATGCTTTCAGTTGTTCGATGCGGGGTCCCCAGAATTTCGCGCCGCTTCCCGGAGACCGGGCCAAGGCCCCTCAGGCCAAAAACTGCTGGAAACCGCCGCCGTGACTTCCGAAGAGTCGCCGTGGACAGCATCGCGGAAAGATGCAGCCAGAGGTCGTAAATTCTACCTTGGGCCTTGAACCCCGCGTCGACAATGACTTCGCGGTGCATGGCCTGGCCCTGACAGGCCGTGGACGTCAGGACCTCGGCACGAGTCTGCGTGAGAAGTCACCCCGCTGGACCCCCGAGCTGGAGCTCTAGGGTGGTGTGGCCGAGGGGCGCCCAGGGCACCGTCGACGGGCGGCCGGCTGCCGTCGCCAGGCCGGGTCTTCGTGTCGACGGGCCTCGCTCGCGAGGCCAGCCGGGCATGGGCCAGCCCCCGTGGCGCGCTGAGGGTTCCCGCGGCGCCACGGGGGGGGTGGGGGCGAGGGCCGCTCGACTTGGCCACGGCCCTGCATCCCCAGACCCCCTCGAGCAATGAAAAAATCACGACGGGAGGTTGTTCGCCATTTTCGGCCTCTGGGGGCCCATCCCGGGCCTCGGGACCATCAAAAAACGACTCGAAATGAAAAACTGGTCCCGGGGAATGGGTCGAAACCACTGGGGGTCGACGGTATGAAAAAATCATGACGTCGGGGGTCTGGGTCTGCTTCCTCAACGACAGCGCAGGAGCAAGCCTGGTACCTCTTGTGGTTGCCCCTCGAGGGGTGCCGCCGAAGACGTGCGCATGCAGGAGGGAGAAGCAGAGCAGGAGGTGGGGGAGCCGGAGGCCTCTTGACTCGGCCATGGCCCTGCATGCATCGGGCACACGCCAATATGGATTACGGATCCGTGGATCTGACGCATGGGCGCCAGATCCACGGATCGGGGCGAGACATGAAGCCAGCGCCGCCTGCTTTGGCGACGGAGCGCGTGGAATTCGCACGGGAACGAGACCCGTCGCTAATCCACGCGCCTTCATTCGTGTCTGCGCTTCCTCGAACGCACCCTCACGGCAGATTCCACAGCAGCGTCATCGCCACGACCCATCCCATCACAATCATCGTCGCTATCACTATCGTCGTTGGCATCGTCGCCGTCATCGACTGCATCATCAGCATCGCCGTCATCATCCGCCACAGCGGCAGCATTACCCTCCCTAACGATTCCCCACTATCTCTCTCTTTCTCTCTCTCTCTGGGTTCACACTCTGTCTATTGTATGAACATGCTGCTTCGAATACGAAGGATGTATGCTAGATGCAAGGGTTGACGAGGGGACACCTGTCACAACAAGTGAAAGAGTCAGCACCGCTGCAATACCCTATGATCTGACCCTGCCCATGACAGCCCTTCTTCCTCCTTCTGACCCACGTCATATACCATTGTCTCTGCCGACCGATCTGCACCTGCTCCAAACAAGAAGCTATGCCTCCGTGCGCTCTTTGAACGTCATGCCCTTGTCGAAGCACTGTGGCACCAACCTGGCGTGCAACATCAATGATGTCACAGGGGGGCCCTATGTTCAGTGGGAGTTGGTGTGGTGAGTTCTGGCTTGGATGAGATTCTTCATGACGCAGCTCCTCTTCCTCGATCGGGAGCCCGCCGTGGATTGAAGTAATTATCAGGCGTGGACCTACCCCATCGTCAGGGTGTTCCGCTTCACCAGTCTCTCGCAACATCAATGCTGCCACAGGGGGGCCCTGGACCTCAGTCTAGGCCTCGGCGAGAACCAGCATGGAATCGGGCGGCTTCAGCCGGAAGGTACGATGGGGCCTCCTCTCCTGAGCCCATTCGGGGTACCTTCGCCTTCTCATCTTCCTCGTCCTCGTCCCCTCTTCCTCCTACTCTTCCTCTCCTCATCATCCTTCTCGTGTTTTTTCTTCTCCTCCTCCTCCTCTTCCTCCTCCTCCTCCTCCTCCTCCTCCTCCTCCTCCTCCTCCTCCTCCCTCTCCTCCTCCTCATCCTCTTCCTCCTCCTCCTCCTGCATCTCCTCCTCCTCCTCCCTGCCCCCTCTCCTCCTCCAACCCCCCTCATCTCCCAATTCCTCCTCGTCCTCTCTTTCTCTCTCTCTCTCTCTCTCTCTTGTTCCCTCCCCCTCTCTCTGTCTGTTTCTCTGTCTCTCTCTCTCTCTCTTCTCTCTCTCTCTGTCTCTCCCGTACTGCATCTATATATATATATCCATCTATACCTATATATATAGATCGGCCTGATGGTTCGCCGAACGCGGCCCTCCTCCTCCTCATCCTCTTCCTCCTCCTCCTCCTCCTCCTTTTCCTCCTCCTTCTTCTCCTCCTCCTCCATTCCTCTTCCTTATGAATAACTCCTCCCTGTCGCACCCCGAGGCCAATCGAAAGGGCGGGCGGGGCGTTTCGCCTGAGCCTTCAGAACGTATGATTCTGAACCTTGGAACTTGCAAAAGCTTCAAGAATGGAGGGTGGTCCGTTTTCAAAATGTAGCTCTCGCCTCAGCGCCGCGCACATTCGTCTTCAAACTATGCCAGAAATTATCGGATGGACGGCGGTCCCATTTCAACGTATGACACTCGCCTTAGCGCCGCACAAATTCGATTTAACGTTTGCAAGAGCTTGGCGAATCGAGGACGTTCCGCTTTCAAAATGTGGCTCTCGCCTTAGCGCCGCGCACATTCGTTTTGAAAGTTTGCAAGAGCTTCACGGGTGGAGGGCGGTCAAACTGCGGCTCTCGCCTAAGCGCCGCGCAAATTCTCTTTGAAGATTTGCAAGGGTTTCACGGACTGTGGGCGGTTCCTTTTCAACCTGTGTCTCTTGCCTCAGCGCCACGCACATTCGTCTCAAGAGTCTGCAAGAGTTTCAAGAATTCGCATGGTTAACTTCACAGAAACGGTGTTTGAGCACGATGGCGGAATGTCAGGGCGCAGCAGTCACGTTGATTCGCGGTGTTGACATCCCAGGGATGGTGTTCTGGCGCGATTCAAGATCGTCAAGTCGCAACTGGAACGGTGACTCGCGGCGCGGAAGTCCCAGGAATGGCGTTCTGGCACAACTCTGAATTTTCACACCGTTGTCTTGCAACGGTGCCTTTCCCTCAATGGGCATGAATCCGTGCAGGAGCCTATAGAGAGGAAACTTGGCGGGAGGGTTTAATGCAATATTGTTGATAGGTCTTAGGTTTAAACTGGTTATCCTCCTCCTGCTCCTCCTCCTCCGCCTCCTCCTCCTCCTGCGCCTCCTCCTCCACCATCCACTTAACTCCCCCTGTCCTCCTCCTCCTCTTCCTCCTCCTCCTGCTCCCCCGCCTCCTCCTCCATCCAATTAACTCCCCCTGTCCTCCTCCTCCTCCACCTCCTCTTCTTCTTAGTGTTGTTAATGTCATTCCGATTAATGTTTTGATGATTCGTCTTATTCGTATAAGTGTTATCCTTTATCAGTAGTCTGATTGTGATTAGTAGTCGTATCATGTCTCTTAGTCTTCATCTTCTTGGTAACATTACTATGTGTCATATTGTTCGCCTTGTTATCCATTGCCGTGTTTTTTACTAATTGTTTTATAGTATTAGCATTGCTAGACTTGGTACCCTTATCAATAATATAATATATATATATATATATAATATATATATATATTGTTATACTGCGTATTATAATTAGTCTTACTAGTCTTCTTCGTATTCTTCTTATTGTATGACTATAGTTATTATTCCCTACCTAGGCTCTGCCTAGAAGGGTTCTTACTCTCTTTCTTAAAGGGGCCGGGCAGTGGGGCCCGCCCCGGGCGGTTCCCCCGGCATCCGCCCCACGGTTCCCCCAGCTACGTCCGCTTAGCTTAGCGTTGCTTATCTCATCTTAGCTTAGCTAATGTAGCTGTCGGTGTAGATGTAGATGTTGCTTTCCTAGATGCTCCAACTCCTAGGTAGGGTCGCACTGGGATACTTATTACTTTTATTATTACTATAATAATTGGTATTATGAGTATTATTATTCCTCCTCCTCCTCCACCTCCTCCGCCTCCTCCGCCTCCTCCTCCTCCTCCCCCTCCTCCTCCTCCTCCTCCTCCTCTTCCGCCTCCTCCTCCGTCTCCCTCATCCCTCCTCTCCCGATGCACCTCCCCTATTCACTTTCCCCATCCCTCCCTCCCACACCTCATCGCCCTCCAGAGCCGCCTACCCCCCCCCTCTGGCCCCACGCCTCGGGGTGCTTCCCACCGCCCCCCGAATTTCGAACTGCCGCGGTCAGCCGGTCGTAGAAAGCCTGCGCGGCGATGAGCTCGTCCTGAGGTGCCCGTAGGAGGGAGCTGGGAGCATCCGTCGGAGAGGCCTCAGAAGGAGGAGGAGGAGAGCGGATAGGGAGAACGGCATAGGAGGAGAAGAAGGGCGAAGGAGCAGGATGAAGGAGCAGGAGCAGGAGGAGGAGGAGGTAGGAGGCCACGCCGCTCGGTGAGGACACCGTCTTCGTAGACAGGGACGTCGTCGGCTTGGCGCCCGCCCCAGCGCCGGATCGTCGCTCCAGGGGCCCAGACCTCTGGCGTCGGCCTTGAGACATCGTGACGGCCGGTGTCTCTTCGGCTTCCTCCCGCCCACCCACCACAGCGCAGAGCAGAGCAGGGACGAGATCACCCCGCAGAGCGTGGGAAGAGCTGCGAGGACCGCTGGACATGTGTGGAGGGGCCGTCCTGCAACGTGGCCTATGCTTCTGGGTCTGGTCATCGGGGGGGCCCGCGCGCGCGGGGCTCCAGGGCCCACCAAGAAACGCACCCGCGGCGCGAAATATCCACGCGAAGGAGAAAGTTTAACACAACAAGACGTCGGAGGTCTGGGAGGTTGAGCCGCGAAGTCTACCGAAGGGATCTGGGGCAATACGCGTAGTCGGCCCTTGATGTTACAGTTCCCGCTCGTGTTCGCCGTGGTGGCCGTCTTCGGCGCACCTGCTACCGTCGGCAGCTTCCTCCTCGTCGCCGCCGCCTTTGTCTTTCTCATCCGTGTCCCCGTCTTCCTAGTCCCCGATCGGCTTGTCTCTGTGTTTCCCCACTCCAGGCCATCATGCTCTACTCATGCGCACCAAATACGCATATCTCTGCAGGCCTGACTTCCGTGAACCTACGGTCGGGAACTTTGGGATAGCGTGTCGCCACGGCGTCCCTGGCGACACGATATTCCTCGCGAGAGGATAGCGTGTCGCTCCGCTCCGCGAGACGGGAGGCTCAGAAAGGCTTGGGACGTGGACGCTGGGGACCGGGAAATGGATCGCGTGTCGCGCCGAAGCGGTGGGCCAAAACCGGCGGAGCGACACGGTATCCAAAAGTTCCCAACCATAATCTCGGCGCCCACCAACAGACTGAAGCATCGAATCCTCCGTCGTGGCTTGATCGCGCCGCACCAGCCCGTGCCGGGAAGGAGGCCTCATGCAGAGAGAAAGCCCGGCACGCCCGGGAGCAGGCGCGGACGGTTCGGGCGCCAACTCGGACCAGACACGGGCGCTGGTCAAAACATCTGCCTGGTGACGTGGCCTGGGACGCAGAAGAGCATACTAATACCCTTTGTTTCTGTTGGATACGCACGTCTGTTGGATACGCACGTCCAAGACGGCCCAAGAGGGCCTCCTCCTCGTCCTCCTCCTCCTCCTCGTCCTCCTCCTCCTCCTCCTCCTCCTCCTCCTCCTCCTCCTCCTCCTCCTCCTCCCCCTCGTCATCATCATCATCATCATCAGACTAAGCATCATCATCATCATCATCAGCAGCATCATCATCACCACCATCGTCGTCGTTGTCATCGTCACCGTCATCATCCATCATCATCATCATCAACAACAATAACCTCATCATCATCATCATAATCAGCAGCATCATCGTCATCGTCAGTATCGTCATCAGCAATATCATCTGCATCATTAGCATCATCAGCATCACCAGCATCATCACGATCATCATCATAATCAGCAGCATCATCACGGTAATAATCAATAACAACCTCCTCCTCCTCATCATCATCATCATCAGCAGCAGCATCCTCATCATCATCATCAGCAGCAGCGGCACCATCATCATCCTCATCATCACCATCATGACCACCACCACCATCACCACCATCATATCATCATCACCACCGCCATCATCATCATCATCATCATCATCATCATCATCATCATCATCATCATCATCATCGTCATCATCATATCAGCATCAGCATCATCGTCATCGTAATCGTCATCGCCATGACCACCACCATCACCATCACCACGGCCATCATCATCATCATCATCAGCAGCATCATCATCATCATCATCATCATCATCATCATCAACATAATCATCATCATCATCAGCAGCATCAGCATCATCATCATTATCATCAGCATCATCATCATCATCATCGTCATCGTCAGCATCATCATCATCATCATCATCATCATCATCATCATCATCATCATCATCATCATCATCGTCATCGTCAGCAGCAGCAGCAGCAGCAGCGGTGTCGTCGTCATCATCATCGTCTTCATCAGCATCATCAGCATCAGCATCAATATCGTCGTCATCATCCTCATCATCACGGTTCACCCAAGCCTCGGGACTCGAGGTATCACACGTGACGGCCTCCCTGCCCACTCGAACAGACGCCATCCAGAATGATGGGCTGGCACGGTGGCGGGACTTGCCACAGGCAGCTGGACACCGTGTTTCTGTTGGAGGCGCACATCCGACCCGAACACGTATCACAACAGTATTACAATAGATCGTTCCCCGAACGGTATCGCCGCGAAGCGCCCGCCACCGAGCCTGTGCTGTAAGAGTTCTGCGGGCGCGCGTCGCCCGTGTGGGGCCGACGCGCAACTATTACAAATACGTCTGGATGATGTCAATGACCGCCGGTTTTGAGGGAGCGCCTCGGCGTCAGCAAAATCTGTGGCCGCGGGTCCCCGCCTTCGCCTCTCCGAGCGCCTCCAGCGTCGATCTTTTCTTTGCCGCGCGCACACGAATGCTTCGATGTACGCTCTCGAGGGGCAACTGCTGGACTGGTTATCTCGTCTTCTGCGCACGGGGCACGGACACGGGCTGCAGGCTCGGAATCTCAAAGCCGCAGGATCGCCGTACAACTCGGCGGCGCGCCGAGGGGGGGAAGTGAGAGGTGACAGGCCTTTTCGGAAGGCTGCGGGGCTTCTCAGAAGCCATCCAGCCTTCTCAGAAGCCCTCCAGCCTTCTCAGAAGGCCTCTGTGACTTAGGAGAAGGCTTAGAAAGCTTTTCGGAAGGCCAGAGGCCTTCTGAGCCTTCTGAAAAGGCCCACCCCCTCTGCATTCTCCCCCTGGGCGCGCTGCCGAACAACAGCAAGGGCGACCAGGGTGCGGAGGCGTTGCTGCTCACGAGTCGCTCGAGCACACCATCGCCCAGCGCGACCATCTGAACGCATTCACCGACCCCTGACACGGACCTGCCGAATCAACGCAGGCTCCCCAAGAGAGTGTTTGTAGCTGGTGCTTCCGAGTCAGGTTCTGAGAGACCAGCCCGCCAAGCGCACGTTTTCTGGTGGCTGCTTGGACACCAGGCCTGGACACCAATGGCTTCGTCGTTCCCCCCCCCACACTGGCCTTGTATGTTGTACTTTCCGAAGTGGCTGCTTGGACACCAGAACGGTTCGCACACCCCTGGCTTGGTGTTTCCCGCCCACCCCCCAGCTGGCCTTGCGTATTTCATTTTCTTGGGTGGCTGCTTGCCCGATGGCGTTGTTACACACACACACACACACATGGAGTTTCACACAATTGGGGTGCCGCATCCTCCTCCTCCTCCTCTTCCTGCACCTCTGACTCCGACTCCCTCGACTCATACTTTTCATCCTCATCCTTCGCGTGTTCCCTCTTCCTTCTTTCGTCTTCCACCCTGCCTCCCCTTCTTCACTCAATCCTAATCCTCCACTTCATCATCCTCCTCCTCCTCCTCCTCCTCCTCCTCCTCCTCCTCCTCCTCCCCCTGCTCCCCCCCGTGGGGCATCTGCAAGCGCCCCTGCCAGCTCGCGGGCACGTCCTGGGTGGCCTTCAAGTCGGCGATGTCCTGCTGCATCTGCGACTCCGCGGAGTTCTGCGGTTGTCGTCGTCTTCGTCGTCGTCATCTTCGTCATCGTCGTCGTCGTTATCCTCCTCCTCCTCCTTCCCCTCCTCCTCCTCTTATTAGTATGAGTATCAGTATTCTTCGTCTCATCCTTAGTATTCTTACGTAGCACCCCGCAATTGCGGATAAGAGTGAGGGGGCGGGCGCGGGCGACGCGGGCGTCGTCGAGCCGGCGGACCTCGTGGCCCCCACCTTCCTTGTCGATGGCGCTCTCCTCCACCTCCTCCTCCTCCTCCTCTCTCCTCCTCCTTCTCCTCCTCCTCTTCCTCGTCCTCATCGTCATCGTCATCCTCCTCCTCCACCTCGTCATCCTCCTCCTCCTCTTCTTCCTCGTCCTCCCTCTCCCCCTCCTCGTCTTTTCATCATGGTCCTCCCATCGTCGTCCTTCCCCTCATCGGCCTCCATCATCGTCCTCCCATTGTCGTCCATCATCATCATCCTCCCCATCCTCCCCCTCCTCGTCCTCCTCCTCCCCCTCCTCCCCCTCCTCCCCCTCGTCCTCCTGCTCCTCCTCCTTTTCTTTCTCCACGTTCTCCTTACACCCTCTCTTCTTCCATGTTCTCCTCGTCCCCTGTTTACTCATCCTGCCTCCCCCTCCTTTCCCAAGATAACTGCAACGCAATCCTTTTTTCCACTTTATGCTCCCCGCCTTTTCTGATCAAGGCAACTCGCCAGGGCAAAGTTGCTGGACGGGCTGGCGTGGATGTGCGGGGCGTGAAGAGGTCCTTGCGGGCTCAGACGGCATGCAAGAATCCGCCGCCGCGCTTGTGCGGCGTTGGTTTGTTCAGTGAACGTGGTTTAGGTCGCGGGTGGGTCGCGGGCTCTCCGCCTCCACCTGGAAGGAATGCAAAAGCAGCCAGCCGCAAGCGCCAAAAAAAATGGTTCGTACACGGAACGAGGTTTGGGTCGCGGGTGGGCCGCGGGTTCTCCACAGGGAACGAATGCAAAGGATGCCCGCAGCAGGCGCCGAAAATATGGTTTGTACCCTGAACGTGGTCGCGGGTGGGCCGCGGGCTCTCCACCTGAAACGAATGCAAAATATGCCCGCCGCAGGCGCCGAAAAATGTGGTTTGTACCCTGAACGTGGTTTGGGTCGCGGGTTGGTCGCGAGTTGGTCACGGGATGTGTCGCGGGCTCTCCAATTGGAAGGGATGCAAAACAAGCCCGCCGCAGGCGCCGAAAATTGTGGTTTGTACCTTGAACGTGGTTTGGGTCGAAGGTGGGTCGCGGGTGGGTCGCGGGGTAGGTCGCGGCTGGGTCGCGGGTGGGCCGCGGGTGGGTCGCGGGGTGGGCCGCGGGGGGTCGCGGGGTGGGTCGCGGGTTGGGTCGCGGGGTGGGTCGCGGGGTGGGTCGCGGGTGGGTCGCGGGGTGGGTCGCGGGGTGGGTCGCGGGGTGGGTCGCGGGTGGGTCGCGGGTGGGTCGCGGGTGGGTCGCGGGGTGGGTCGCGGGGTGGGTCGCGGGGCGGGTTGCGGGTGGGACGACGACAACAAACAACAACAACAACAAACAACAACAACAAGAATCCGCACCGCGGAATTCCACATCAGCCACGCACCCAGGGACAGTGAATGACCGTTCGGCCCCCTCACTCTGATGATTATTGGTAGTATTAGTACTATTAGTATTAGCCCTCTTCTTCCCATTACTATTTGCATTAGTAATATTATCATTCGTCTTCGTATTCTTATCAGTATTACTCGTATTAGTATCAGTCTTCTTATTGTTAGTCAGATTATTAGCCTTAATATGATTATTAATCGTATTCGTCTCCTTCCTCCTCCTCCTCCTCCTCGTCCTCCTCTTCATCCTCTCGTATCAATGCTCCCTCCGAGGCAGGCAATGTCATCTTCGTAACAACGACTCTGCCGGATGGATCGATACTCGATACTCCTCCCCTTCCTCCCTGAACCCCGGCAACTGCCACTGCCGCTGCCGCCACCACGCCCTCGTTATCCTCCGCGACCTCCTCCTCATCCTCCTCATTCACCGTCTCCTCCCGTATCCATCCTCCCGCATCCACCCTCATCCCAGATCCACCCTCCCTTCCCCACTCCTCCTCCTCCGTCCTCCCACTTCCTCCCCATCCTCCGACCCCTCCCATGCCCATCCTCCCTGAACCCCCATGTGCCTTCGCCTGGCCCTGCAGACCCTTCACAGATCTGCCCTACACCACGCACGCTCCCAAGTCCGCCGTCGGTGGCAGGACGCGTCACCAGCAGAGGAGTCCTCGCTCGAAGGACGGCATGTGGAACAGCTGCCCCGAGACGTGACTGGCAATACGCAGAAGCATCCGATGCACCACTCTAAGACAGCCCAAGGGGCCCTCAAGAAGGGCCCAAGTCGGCCCAAGCGGCCCCAAGAGGCCCCCAAAGAGGCCCCCAAGAGATCCGCAAGAGGCCCCCAAGCGGCCCACAAGAGGCCCCCAAGAGGCCCCAAAGAGGCCACCATGCCTGGCCGGGGGCCATCCTGGGCCCTGGCGTGGTGTGCACGCCATCGCGGACAAGGCCAGGAGGGTCTGCACGCCACCCTGGGGCTCGGGATGGCCCTGCCCCAGCACGGTGGTGGTGTGCAGGTGCCCTCTGCGGAGGGGAGCATCTGGCCCGAGGCTGGCGAGGCCCAAGGCGCCCCCCTTCCCCAGAATGCGCAGAGCCGTCGTGCTACCACTGTGGAACGCTGAATATGGAGCAAGGGGCCTTTCTCGCCACGGCGGGCCTCGGCCACGAGTGGGCTCCTCCCCGACTGAGCACAAGGGGGTCCGTACTTTAGCGGCTTGACTGCAACACGCATCACTTAACCATCGAGCTCGGCAAAAAAAGAGGGCCTGGAGCCAAGTGGAGGAGCGGTCGCCATTACAGCACGTACACGGTCGAGAACTTTTGCATAGCGTGTCGTCGCGGCGGCCCAGGCGACACGCTGTGCCCTGCAAGCGGATAACTAGCGTGTCGCTCCGCTCCACCGGGCGGGAGGCTGGGAAAGGCTCGGGACGTGGACACCTCAGGACCAGGAAGTGGATGCCATGTCGCGCCGAAGCGCGGTGGGCCAGAACTGGCGGAGCAGCACGTTATCCAAAAGTTCCCGACCGTATAACCCGACTGCCTGAAGCCATGCCACACGACTGCAGTCGAACACACATCATATCACCCGTGGCCGTGAGCACGAATACCCCAGTATAGGGGGCGGCTGGGGATCTGCTCTGGACAGGCACCGTCAGAGCCAGTCAGGAGGGTAAAGACGGGAAAGAGGGCAAATTCGACATCCAATGCCCATCTGGAGAAGGCGGCCCAGAGGGGACGAGGAACGCAATCTGTGTAGGATGGTGCCCCTACCTCCTCTAACGGCAGGAACCAGTGATCTCCCACCTCAGCCCCCCAGCCGGCTCCAGCCCCGGCATGCGCAAAGCGCGAACAACAGAAGAGCAAAACAAGCCCCGGCTTCCATGTGAGGGGAGCGGAGTTCCTTGTCGGCGGTGTTCATCTCGACCTTCCTGTCCTTCTTCGCTTTGTCCTTCTTGGAAGCGATCATGAACTCGTCATACGCCTGCGACAGAATTCGGCTCAGACGCAGACACACACACACACACACACACATACACACACACACAGGCACACACACACACACACACGCACACACACACACTTGTTTTGGCACCGCGGCCCTGCTGCGCGCAGCGACAGGGCGTAGGTCGAAAAGCAGCAACCGTGCGCGAGAGTCTAAGCCCGCCCGGGCCCTCAGAGACCACTAAGGGTCCCGCAGCCGCCGCCAAACATAGGCTATCTGGGCATGGATGGCAGGGAGATGCGGTGGAAGGACGGGACTACGGTGGAGTGGAAGGTTCCATATGCAATCCGTGACTGAAAGGCGGGGGGAGCGAGTGAGCAGGGTAAGCGACGAGTAGGCCAGGACCGACCTGGAAGGCAGGACCAAGGCGAGACGGCCAGGGACAAGGCGGGAGGTGCGAGGAAGCAGAGGCGGCACCGAGCCGCAAAAGAAACGCAGGCTGGAGAGCCGCGAAGAGTGGCGAGGCCGGGCCGCACGCCGGAAACAGCGGCGGCCAGAAACTCGGCCCACGCAGGACGGACTGGGCTCCCCTCCAAAAGGCCAAGGGCCCGGAGAGGCGGAGAGAGGGCCAGCGGGAGCCCACCTGGGGGGGCGGCGAGGCGGCCAGGGGGCGAAGCGGCGGCGGCGCGAGGCACGGCAGCCGCGGGGGCGGAGCAGGGGCAGGCAGCCAAGTGCAGGGGCAGAAAGCGCAGGGAGCGCGCATGGGGGGGCCAGAGGGGAGAGGGCAGGGGCAGCGCTGGCCAGGCGGGGCCTGAGAGGAAAGCGGGAGCGCGCGCGGCTGTCCACCATGAGGCAGACTGGCCGATGCGAAAGGAAATGGTCTGGAACAGGGAAAAGCGGAGCGCACTCGCGCCTCCCGAGAGGGAGGTGAGGTCCAGACCGTTCACCGAAACTATGTCTCCAGTACATACACGCACACACACACACACACACAGCCACGCACACACTTTGTCCTCCAGCGGCAGGCTGGCGGCACCGTCGCGAGTGCTAAGGCGGGATATGCTTAGTTCATGTCCACCTGGCGCTGGCGTTGCATATGAGTGGACTGGGCGGCGCAGAAACACGCCGAGGCGTGGGGGCGTTCAGGCGGAGTCCACTGGGGCAGCCAGAGGCGGAAGAGCGTGCACACCCACACACACACACAAACACACACACACACACACACACACACGCACGCACGCACGCACGCACGCACGCACGCACGAAGAATATGAACACGAGTCAAATACAGTATGACACTGTGCACTCACGATGACGAAGGCCATCTGCCGCCACGTCCGATCCGCTGCCGCCGAGCGTAGCTCGCCCACAATGGGGAAACAGACCCAACAACCGTCGGCCGGAAATCTGAGTCGTGCGCACACACACACATCCCTTCGCCCCCGTCAGAAGTGAGCCCTGGAAAAACGCAGGCCGGACCCGTCAAGGCGTCCGAAGTGCTCATCATCCTCGAGCTCACCAGCCACCGCCTCCAGCTCCTCTTCCTCCTCCTCCCCCTCCTCCTCCCCTTCCTCCGGCGAATCATCTTGCCTCCTCATTCACCACCTTCTCGGTCTCCTCCTCCTCCTCCCTCCTCCTCCCTCCTCCTCCTCCTCCTCCTCCTCCTCCTCCTCCTCCTCCTCTCGTCCCCCTCCTCTCCTCCTCCTCCTCCTCCTCCTCCTCCTCCTCCTCCTCCTCCTCCTCCTCCTCCTCACCACCCTCATCCTCCTCCTCCTCCTCCTTTCCTCTTCCCCCTCCTCCTCCTCCTCGTCCTCATCCTCCTCCTCCTCCTCCTCCTCCTCCTCCTCCTCGTCCTCCTCCTCCTCGTCCTCCTCCTCCTCCGCCTCCTCCTCCTCCTCCGGCTCCTCCTCCTCTTCTTATTTTTCTTCTTATTGTTCCTATGTTCTTCTTATTATTATTAGTATCATTATTATTATTATTCTTATTATGATTATTATTAGTATTATAATTATTAATAATATTATCATTATTATTATTATTATTATTATTATTATTATTATTATTATTATTATTGTTATTAGTATTACTCTTATTATTTTTTATCATTACTATTATTATTAATAATATTACTATTATTATAATTATTATTACTATTATCATCATTATTAGTAGTAGTATTATTAATAGTATTATTAGTATGGTTATTATGATTATGATTATTGATATTATTATAATTAGTATGCTTAATATTAGTCTTATTAGTATTAATATTAATATTATTGTGAGTATTAGGATGAATATGATTATTATGAATATTATGATTATTATGATTGTTAGTATTATTATGATTAGTATCATTATTATCATTATTATTAGTAGTAGTATTAGCATTAGTATTAGTAGTACTAATATTATTAATATTATTAATGGTATTATTATTATTAGTAGTATTATTCTTATTAGTACTACTATTATTAGTAGTATTATTAGTATTAGTACTATTATTAGTTGTATTATTATTGGTAGTATTCTTGTTGTGATTGATATTATAATTAGTATTATTATTACTATAAGTGTTAGTATTATTATTGGTTGTATTATCCGTATTATTATTAGTATTAGTATTAGTATTAGTAGTAGTATTAGTCTTCTTATTCATAGTATTCGTATTACTATTCGTATTAGTCGTCTTAGTAGTATTCTTCCTCGTAGTAGTAGTAGTAGTTGTCTTCTTATTCTTAATATTCTTCTTAATAGTATTCTTCGTAATATTATTACTAATATTAACATTATTTGTAGCATTCTACTTCTTAGTAGTATTATTCTTATGATTACTCGCCTTCGTATTCTTATAATTGGTCGTGTTCGTCTTCTTAGTTGTATTATTACTCTTATTCTTATTATTCGTATGATTCTCTGTATTATTAGTACTACTACTATTATTGTTATTAATAGTGTTACTATTATCATTGGTATGGTTACGATTGTGTTTATTATTCCTCCTCCTCCCTCTCCTCCGCCTCCGCCTCCTCCTCCTCCCCCTCCTCCTCCTCCTCCCCTTCCGCCTCCCCCTCCTCCTCCTCCTCCTCCTCCTCCTCCTCCTCCTCCTCCGCATCATCATCATCATCATCATCAGCAGCATCATCATCATCATCATCACCATCATCATCAGCATCATCATCGTCATCACCATCATCATCATCATCATCGTCATCATCATCAGCATCAGCATCAGCATCATCCCCCTCCTCCTCCTCCTCATTCACCTCATCCTCCTCCTCCTCCTCCTCCGCCTCCTCCTCCTCATCCTCCTCTTATTCGTCTTAGTATTATGAGTCGTCTTCTTCTTATGATTTGTCTTCTTCGTATTCGTCTTCTTATTACTCGTTGTCGTCTTCTTCTTCCTCTTCTTCGTCTTCCTCCT